TCACAATACAGTATGTCCATATATTCTTACTGATTACTGGAAAAATAACAAAATAAGACGGAGAAAACTGCTTTTTTTGTAGTATCCATCCTTCTACTTGTGTTGTGTTATACTTTGCTGTTCAACTTCAAGCAGATGTTCGTCAAGCCAAATTCACAGCTGCTAAAATTTACTATGGCGGGACTCATCCTTAAAAATATGGCTGTTCAGTCAGCTGATTGTTGCCCGTTGCTGGAAATTAGCGGAGTTAATGTACTCAAATGCTGCTGTGTGCAACTCACAAGGGTACTAATATGGCATAATCATTACACATATTTAATAAGACAGTGTGCTTTTTAAGGTTAAGGAAACCCTCGGGGTAGTATTTACTGCTCAGAGGAAACAGTAAATCTGGATAGTGGGTGTCTCCTGCATCTGGTTTTACATGGGAAGAACCCTCACTGCTCATATTTTTTTCAGCTAGAGTATCTATATTCTAATTAATTGTATAAAGGCCTGCAGAGATGATAAAATACAGTTACTATTCTCCATAGTGTGCCTTTGCACCTGCCCCAAGTCCCTACACAGGTTCTCCAAAGGTGCTGAACAAGCCTAAAAAAAAGAGTGTTGCTGCTTTTAAACAATTTTCAGCTGATTTTACTCCTTGCTTTTCCAATTTATTTTTGCTACTTTTCCTTTGTTCTTGATCAAACAGTGCCGCCCAGTATACACAAGTAGTGCATATGTTCAAGTCTTCATATGCATGCACAGATGGGCTATCATATGCCGTTATAGTAGCCTTCATTTGCACAGAAAAAGAAACGCATACTCACAACTCACCAACCTTTGGCATAAAGACCTTCTGGGAGTGCAGATGTGAGGAGGTTGTCCCACATCCAAGTTCAGGTTTCACCTGCCTGCTATTCAAGGCAGTGCTGTGTTGTGTAATCGTGCAAACACACAGTCACTTTGTAAAGTGTGTCAAGAGGCAGAGGGCAAGGTCTAAGCACAACACTTGGGTGGTCCATCCACCCGTTCCTTTCCTGTGCTTTTGTACGTACCACACTGACGTGTTGTGGTTCTGGGCAGCTCTCTGCCTGCCCACGTACAGCAAAGAGACACTTCACTTTCTCAGCTCTGATGACGGAAATGGAATACGCCTGGATCCTTTCATCCAGCAAGAGCGAGAAGAAAGAAAGAAATGCCGTTCTGGGATGTCTCATGCACATGCAGCTGCCCTCTAAAAAAAAATGTAGCTCAGCTTCAATTTTATCACATTTCCAGTGCCTAGACAGCTGTCAAACGAATGACATGTTTTACATCAACCACAATTTGTACATTTTCATCAGCCTAAAATAGCTTGTAAAGCCTTTGTTTTATAGGCAGTTTTATTTCTGGTGTCTCTTTTTCTTGGGGTTGATCCGATGTTGCATCAGAATGATTGCCATTGTATTTCTATTAGGAAGAAGGAGGGCAAAGAGAGACAAAAGGAGAGAAATAAGGATACAGTACAGGAAAGAGAAATGGTAGATGGTAGAGAGACATTAAGACAGAAAGAGAACAAGTAAGAGAAGAAGATTTGTAAGGAGGGGGGGAGGGCCGAAGGCCAGCAGAGTCAGAGATAAGAGGCTGGAAGAGTGATTGAAATAGGATTAGTGGAGACAGGCTCTGCATCCCGGCCGCAGCATCACAGTGTTAAACCTGCGCCTCACAGGGACTGCCTCTGTCACATCAAAGCCTCCCCAGGCTTGCCTGGCAGAGAGGCGAAGGAGCCTCCAGCAGGGTCATCCACAGCCCCACACACACACACACACGACACATATATGACCATACCGATCACATTCTTCATCCATTTCCAATATGTTTCCATTATGGGCCTGAAGCTTGCTCCTTCCTTCTTGCCTTTTCATCTCCCTGCAGTATCTTTGTGGCGTGTATTTGGACCGCGGATAGGATCCATTGATGAGCCATCTTTAACATTTAATGAGGCAAGCAGTGATGAGTTGGCATTGGAAAGCTACTGTCTCCTGCTTCCCCAGAGTCCAAACAAAGTTTTAATGAGAACTTTCCCCCAATTTGTGCCAAAAGCGCAGCGCTTTTTAACTGCTTCCCAGACTGAAAGCATACAAAAATGTTCACGCAAGTACTGAAGGAGGGCAGACACCTAAGTGCACATAAACAAATAACAATCCCTTTCATATACTGTAGTGTTTGGCGGTAAATCAGCACAAAATCAGTACTATGACGTAAGAATGAATATAATCACTGGTAAGGCTGGCCGAGTAATAGGCTCTCAGCGACTAGCCGAGTCCATCGCCAGTTTTTTATTTTGGGGGTTTAAGTTTTGCTCCTTTAGTGTTTAATTCAGTAAAAAAAAATCACCTGTAAAATAGTAGAAACAGCAATAGGACCTGGCAGCTGGTGTTAGACACCTTCTTATTCCGCTGAAATATTCCTTTCGCAAAGGGCAGTGACTAAATTACAGTTGAGATGTCTTTAGTGACTAGTTACGATTTAATATTAACTAAAGCTGTAAAGAAAACCAATAATTCATATTTGAGAACTAGACTAAAGCTCTCCATGTAGTTTCACATCCTTATTATTTCAGCACGTGTTACCCCCGCCTTCAGCAGGTGCTAAACTGACTGAGGGTAGCTAGGAAATTTCGACACATTGCCTCAACTGACTATGTGGTTATTGACATGCTGCGTCTTGAATGCTTATTTAATGTTCTAGTTTAGTTAAAAGTTAGGCTTTTTTAATTTTGAAGATGTTTGCTGTCGTTAAACGATTCAAATGACTTGAAATGTATTAGTAGAACACAAAGGTAATTCCCACCTACTTCCTTTAACAATACTTAATTATCAAATCTAAATTTGTATCTTTAACGTGCTACAAAATTACTTACAGCTTTGTAGCTCAGCGAATGCTGAAGGCACTTGCCCCAGCTCTCCACATTCACTAATCAAGTGAAAACTCCTTGTTCCATGTTCATCTTGTGTGCTTATGCTTGAGAGTGTCTCGGTATGATCAAACGCTGCACCTTAGTCCCACTCTGTTGCAGTAGATTATGAATCCCTATGGCTAAAATGGCCTGTTTATCTGCTGAAGAGAGACAATCCACTGATTGGTGAGTGCTGTCGCTCTGTGTGTTTGTATGCGTGTATGTGTGTGTGGGTGTACTCGTGTGGTATCTGTATTAGTGTGTGCGAGCTGGTAGTTTTCCTCTCGGAGCTCATCAGTTCATATCCACCACCCATCCCACCGCAGCATGCAATAAATAGAGTCTCCGCCACTCGTTGAGAAATGGCACAATTATCCCCTGCTGGTGAAATATGGGCCGGGATGCACCACTGCTTCTTTCCTACAGAATATGTGTGAGTGTATGTAAGTGTGTGTGCACAGATGCAAGTGTGTGTGCACAGATGCAAGTGTGTGTGCACAGATGCAGTGATGAGGGTGGCTGTTTTTTGTCCTTTGTAGTCTTTGTGATTTGCTTTTGACATACAGGGAATTGTTGTCACTTACATATCAGCACACATGCATGCATGTAGTATATCTCCGCATGTACATTAGTGCTCACAGTGCAGCATATTGCAGTTTTAGCTGAGACAAGCAGATAGAAGATCTTGCTGTCTGTCAGTCAGGAAGGTCAGTCTTTCTATTTCAAAAAATTCCTTGCAAGCCACTTTGCATATAGACCCGTGGAATAAAGAAATACAATATATTTTTGCTTTTGCGTGGAGCTGCATCAGTGACATGTAAGCTTATAAGCATACCGTAGGTGTCTTTATGCAGTCCTGCTCCTTTGGCAATTTCAACTTTTGTATTGGATTTTCACAGGTCCAAATAGGCTCCAGCATCATACACGTTTTATATTTTTTATGAATAAGTTATATCACAAATTCCAGTTACAGAATCTGCCAGAATACGGGGAGTCTAGAATTTATTCACTCATTTACAAACATAGCGGTGAAATTTGGTTATTTTCTTGGGTTCTTTCTTTCTGAAAGGGAGATCTGAGACGATAGATACACCAAAAGACCCGAATTGTTATGACAATTGCTGCCAATTGTGTTGTTTGCACTTGTTTAGAAGCTCAAGGTGCCCCTGAATTAGCTAGACCCAAGAATCTAGACATTATTTTAATATTAAATGTTCTTTTATTAGCTAATTTTAAGTTAAATGAAACATTACATTATCAGAGACCTTTTCTGTCTTCACTGTCTTCATTATGAAAGGATGCATTTTTGGCTCTAGCAATTAAATAAATTTTTATTACTTGTGGCAATTGTGCTTATTTCTTATGACTTTTAAATCATTTAACACCACTTTCAATTTGGCATTTAGTACCCCCCCCCTTCCTGCAGTGGAGTATTTCCCTACAATTTTTTTTAATTGTAACGTATTCGGTACAGCTGCTCTGAGGGGCCCAATGGTGTATGTTCATTCACTCTGAAGCCAGAGTCAACAGACAGTTAGCTTAACATAAAGAACAGAAGCAGGAGGGGCTACTGCACTGTACTGTCTCTGTCTAAAGGTTACATCATATCACCCTACCAGCTCCTCTAAAGCTCATTAAGACGTATCATTATTCCTTTGAGTCACCTTTGATTTAAATGTGTTCGCTTTATAGTTTTTAGATTTCAAATAAATTCATTAGCAACACATGAATTTTACTTTACACCAAAAGAGCAACCTTTAGGACCGTTTATTGCACTTGCATGCTTGTAGACCTTTTATAATGTTCAGTGACTCTCTGAAATGCCAAAGGGCTGCCCATTCATTCCAAGTCAGCCATACACATAATTGTATTAACCTCAAGTGATTTCTCTTCCCAGTGGCTTTTGACATTTCTGTGACTTTGCAAATTTCTCGTTGTAACTAAATGGCAAAGTATAGAAAATAAGGCAAATATATTAACCACAGGTTGGTAATCCAAATGAACTGTCCCACCAGGTGAAGGTCCTGTGGGTTATTACGAGTGTAAAACGCTAAATTTGATTTCTCTGTCTTTACAGGTATGGGAAAATAGTGTCAACCAAGGCCATTCTGGATAAGAACACTAACCAGTGCAAAGGTAAGTGTCTAGTTTTTGTGCCTTGCCTTGCCGTGCCTTAAGTGCATTGACTATCACTCTGTGGGTGTCCTGTCACAGGAGCCACAGTCCAAACCTTTTTGTAAATTTCAGACATCGGCCGAGAAAGGTGCACATGGTAAATCAGTGATCTGGTGAGAAAAAGGATCTAGGTAAACATCTTGCTCTTGGAGGCGCTGGCCTGCTTCAGAGGATGATTAGGAAGGGAGCCACACTCTTAGCCTTTCCCTATCTCTTCCTCGATTTCCTGCTTTGTCGTACGGATGACAATCATTTGGAAAGGGTGTTTCCATTAGTATCCGCGCAGTAATGCGAACATGAAATAATGACATTACTGGCTCATTTGAAATTGTTTCTGGGGCACACATACTACACACAATTACATGCTTGAACATATGCAGCCAATTAGTGGGCTAACAAGCAAGCAAAGATTAGATAAACTTCAGTTATTATCTTTGTCAAGCTCATCTTCTTAGAACCTTGGTCAGCTGCCTTACAAGGCTGAAAATACTTTTTGAGGAATCAATTTTTTAATGATGAAGACCAGTGAAGTCTTAAGTGAAGAAATTGTGAAAGAGAAGAGAATATAGAGGGATGAGGGAGGGGAAAGGAAAAAAAAAAAAGATTAGTGTGCTACTTGCCCCGAGGTGTCTGGCAGCACTGTTTAAGAGCTATTGAAGTTCCATCAATACTTTTAATTGCTTTTTGTGGTTTCCCGGGCTCTGAAGTGTGGCCTTTCAAGGTGAAGCTGCCTTCTTAACCCTGCTACACACATGAGTATATCCTGCTGGGCATGGTCTGGGTCAAAATGTTGAGGAAAAGAACCTTTGCCTTTTAGAGGATAGGGAAAAAAAGGCTGATTATCTTGGCAGGTCCTTTTTGTGAGTTCGCCTGGCCATTAAAGACAACACTTGGATGCCTGTTAGTAGCAAGGATATATCTACAGGTCACAGGACACAGAACAGAGTGGATTAGAGGGGACAGTGAGAGGTATAAAAAGAGGTGAGACAAACATCTTTGAATCTTCTTGGGTTGCGAATAAAAGAAATTAGATGTTTAGTGTTGTCCGTGTCCGGCTGATCTGAGTTATGTACAACACTAAAAAAAAAAAAAAAAAAAATCATCCCAGCTTAGGACTGTGTTTTGTGGGAGACAGCATTTCCCATAACTCACCTTCCTGGAATGCAGGACTGCTGAGATGCCAAAAAGCAAATATAAGCAGACTTATTTTATGAGTGGAAAGGATGGTCCTGGTCTACACCCAGACACAGAGAGGTAGAGGGATACAGAAAAGATGTGACGAAGAAGAGTGTGAGGACGAAGGGCTTAGTAACCTTGAAGAGAAAATTACAGTTCTTTAGTGTTTGAAAGCCAAATTGAGGTGAAGCAAAGCTGCACAAAAACAGGATTTTTGCCGTTTTTTGCTTCCCATTTCTGCCTGGGCATCTCTCCCACTAACTGTTGTATTCAGTTTTATATATATATCTATGTCAAACTACAACGTGCATGATCTTAGTGCACTTGAACACCAAGACCTTATAACGTTGTAGAGAGGATAAAACATACGTCTGTTATAGTATTATAAGTGGTACTTTTTAAATACATAGATATTTATAATTACAAATGTATTTTTTAAAATATAATTTATTTTATTACATATTTATTTATTGATACTGTCATTTACTTATTTCTTTTATGTGCAATGGAAAATCTAAACCCATAAGATGCCCTGCTGCCAACCTGTTGACGGTGCACCTCACCTGTGACAGCTCTAACCTCTCCATAACCCTGACTTGGACAAGCATTTAAGAAAATGGGATGGGATAGAATGGCTAAATGTATAACTATTTTAATTTATTTATTTTTTTGGAGTGCAGCAGTTCTCTTTGATTTTCTTTGATCAAATACTTGGCGATGGTAGGGACAAGCATCTCCCAAAAGGTGAGCAGCTATCAAAGCGCAAGCGATCCAGGCAGGTGCACTGAAGCCCGATGGGCTGGCGTCCGCTCCTCGTAACAAATCGAAATCGGCACACAGCCCCGATCTGGTCACGGCTTGTTTCCATTCATCTGACCCCCTGTATCTGACACTTGTTTAAATGTCAGGATGGTGGCTTACCTTCACTGTGCTGCCATCACGCAGCTGTCTCTCTCTCTCTCCCTCCTGTCTGTTCGCCTTCTCCATCTCCTCTTCCCTCTTTTGTGTTATCTGTCTTTAGCTCAGCTCAGTGAGTGCACTGCCAAAACCATGTGAAAAATGGGCTAGAGAAGAGGTCAGTCATCTCTGAGAGAGTGCTATTAAGAGAGAATCAGCCATTGGAAAACCAAGCTAGTAACAGACCTTGTACTTGCTGACTAACGTTTGGGTGTTTATATTTTGTCAAAGAGTAAAATGTTCTTCATAACAGTCTAAAATAATTATGCTTTTGTATATACTGTACAAAGCATTGCAGAGACTAACGACTAATTTATCAGTTAATTAACAAAGACTTTAGATTAGTTACCACTGGATTGTTTACACTGATAAAAAAAAATGGCTCAAACGGCAGAGTTACCTGCTCATATGGCAAAAAACTTTAAAACGACTCAACCTTTTGAGAGCTCAGTGCTGTATGTCAAGCTGCCAACTGTAAGCACAAATATGTAATTTCTAAAAATGAAAGTATGAACCAGTAAAGATGACGATGGTGACGTAGATGATAGTGACTTGTGTGGGGGGGCGACCGTGGTTCAGGGGGGTGGGAAGCTCATCTTGTAACTAGAAAGTTGCCGGTTTGATCCCCAGCTATATCTGTCTTGGTCGCTGTGTCCTTGGGTAAGACACTTCACCTACCTCCTGCTGGTGTTGGCCAGAGGGGCCGATGGCGCGATATGGCAGCCTCGCTTCTGTCAGTCTGCCCCAGGG